GAAACAGAGTCAGACGTACGTTGAAGGGCATGGCTGATTTCCGTTACGACAGATAGCAGGAACGAATCGTTACCAGGTAACAGGTTACTAAACACACATTAGCGTGGCAACGAACACGCAGATTACAACAGACGAACCGTTCAAGGGTGTGTTCAATTTGCGGTCCGCGCCGGGTCACAGGAGAAGACGAGAGACTAGAGACCAGCCCGAGATCCAGAAGAAATACAGTGAGAGATTCATTAACAAGGAGTTCAACGTGTGAGCTATTATAATCAACTGTAATTGAAATAGAGGCGTCCAGCAAATCCAATCATCAAACCTAGAACCCACAATTATTAGTCACGCAAGCTCGTATACGTGACAATACTTTGGCTCATATTGGGATTCTAATTAAGTATGAGTAACGTTTCTATAGCTCATAAAATAAAGAAGGGGCATGCATCGCAAAGAAGGGCATGGCTCTTAGAGGACCTTAGAACCAAGGAGTAAGTAAGCAACGTTCGCATGACTAACATGTTGTTGTTATTGTCGGAAAATAAGCAACAGTTAAGTACTGGCGTGCGTGGTTCTCGCTCATTATCATGAGTATCATATTCTGTGCCACCACAATTAGACCACTCGTCATAATTGTATTAGAATGCTACAGACGAACATACAAATACACACACATATATGGGCGCGCAGACACATGGATTTTGTGATGAGATTAGCTATCACCGTAAGGAAGACCTCCACAACAGCCAGCAGTTTCATGACCAACTGAGCTATAGTTAGAATTAGTTTTAGTTTAGTAGCCTTACTGCCCTTGAGAACTTGAATAAGTCGATGAATTAGGCAAGCGATGCATACATTTTGTAACATGATTCCTGAAAACCGAAATAGCGAAGCCAAAGTAGACGTTCATTGATAAACAACGACTCTATAAATAGCTTCCTGCGACAACGAATACATAAGAAACAATTGAAGTATTATTGGGCTATAACGATGGAAACGGCGTTTTCTGTTGTATCCGCTCCTAGGCTATATAACGAGGATCCAAGGCCAGCTCAGAGAATAATTGAAGGAGTCTCTTGACAAGGCAGTCGAAGATGTTTGAGAAGAGATGGCAACTAGTTCAGTTGAAAAGTGGCGTGTCATTTGAAGACTTTAGCGAGACTTATAAACCCGTTGCCATGATACGACTAGTGTAGACTGAGAACCCTAGTGTGTGTGTGTAACGGTGAACCGTAAAGTGTGTAGATCAGCGATAGCGCTCCATTACTTGTACTTACGAGTTGAATGTATAAGTGCAATAAATCAAATCATTCAATCCAAATCCCTTGTATAATCACCCCTACACGTGACAATGTTGTGTATAAATGAAAGTAAGTTAAAACACACGGTCTAGGCAGATAGTCGTTTCTCTGTACCTATTCATATTTGAACGAGACAGGATAAGAATCTGATCGTGTGACGAGGACTTGTATTTACGTAATGCTTCCCTGCACCATCTGCAATGAATGGTTCGTCGGTCCATCTGCATGCTGTAATCATACGAGTTGAGAGACGAGGCCCCTGCTCCATCCCTATCACGTAATATTGCCAAAAACATTAACGGACGGGGTGGTCCATCGCCATTAGGGTCAACGCAGTATTTGGGGGATAAATGTGGCCACACACACCTGCAGCACGGCTCGCTTAGGCAGCTCTACATCCACACAGACTAACATGGCTGGATTTATTTCGTTTCTTTGTCTTCATCTATGTAATCGTAAATATTGTTGTCACTGCGCCCTCGGTGTGACTGTATCCATTGACGTCATCATCTGAGTGAAGTATGCCTAGGTTAAGAATGGCAGAAACTTTGGTACAGTTGAAAGAGGGGAAACGAAATCTTTGTGTGTGTGTCAAGGAAGGTACCCATTTTAGATAAAAATAAAACTGAATGTATGTATAGAAATAACTATATTGTAGCACGTAGACTCCTTGCAAAGTGGTGACTCTGTAAACAGGAGCGGTTGCTAGGTAATGGTCGCAACATGACGTAACATTACAAGAAATATGTTTTCTTTGTGGTCCGTGCCGGGGCTACATAGGGAGCGGAGTGGAAAGAGTTAAGTGGAGCGAGTTGTATGGTGAATTAGTGAATTGTTCAGAAAACTGCGGGTCAGTCTTTGTGAGCTATTGTTGTTAGACGCAATTAGCTGAGGCAGGGGGATAGTTCGAGAACCCAGAGGAAGGGGAACCTCCGCCGTTGGAAGCCGTTGTCGAGCAAAGACTGGCGAAGTCAGCAGACTGAGAAATCTTAGCGCGTGCTGTAGTGAGGAGACGAATGCATGAATTAGCGAGGTCGTTATAATTACTTGTGGTTACGATCTCTAAGTGGTCAATAAATCCAATCACCAATCAAAACTCCCGTCTATAGTCGCAGTCGATCATGTGACAATAATATATATATATACATACAGTAGAACTTGGTTATAACGTCATCAAAGGGACCTAAAAATAGTGTCGTTATAAACGAATGTCGTTGTAACCGAAATGGGCACTTCCACAGTAGCCTTATGTTAGTCACGTAAAAATCTACCAAAAACCGAGTTAAAATGTTGCATTTTTTTAGTGAAATACGTAGTTAAGTACAGACTAACGTAACATTAACGTGGAATTGCCCAAATGTGTAATATCAAAGACATATTACAGCGCTTTTCACTGACAATACACACCGCACTAATACTGTATATTAAAGGTAGGCCTACTCACCAAATTACAGTAGATTACATCAATTGTTGTGCCTTACTGTACCTAGATACGAGTACAGTAATCAATTATCTTCATCTGTTTCCTGTTACTTGCCCAATACACACTTTCTAAATTACGTTCAATGTCCATATCAGAGAAATTCAGGAATGAAAATGACGTTACATACGAGGTTGATGCATTTGTGCATGTCGTACTAAGCAAGGTACAAAAACAGTTGCTTTATGAGGAATTAGTTCGTACCATTGAATATTTGACGCAATAGACAAGGTGTCGCAGAAACCGATGTTGCTATAACCAAGTTTTACTGTATATGAGGAACTTATGTTAATTATTTATTTTCCTTGAAAGATTAAAATCTTTCATAACAGTTATTCAGTTAGTGGAAAAAGGGATTATTACAAGAACAGTTGATCCATTTGAAATTGACAGAGAGTGACAGGGTCCCAGAACTTTACTTTCCTACGAATAAAAGTGACCCAAGAATACAAGGGGCCCACATATGGAATGGCGTGATTCTAACCCTTAGAAGGAAGAAGAGAATCGCCTAGTTATTATTCTCTAGCAATAGTAGTCGGACACCAGACGTCCCTAAATACAAAGGCCTGCCATGAACACAGTCTGTTACACTTATATTCACCTCTTAGCGTCATTACCAATTTCCTTGAGATATATCTTAACATTAAACTGCCATCTTCTCACTCTTTCGTGTAGCCCCTTTCCAACATCTTCATTCAACAGAATTCTATGTTCATTTTTAGACTGCAATTTTGTACGCCCATCATGGCCTCCCGGGTTTCACTGTCTAAACGATAATACGTGGTGTGTACGATTCACAGACCTTCTGATTACGTACTACCCAGCTCATTCCCTTCATTTGTTTTCTTTGTTAGCTTCAGATAATCTCCTGAGCACCTGTTCGTAATTGAGCACTTCTAACTTACATTTCTATCCACGAAGTGAGATCCCATGTTTCATATTCTATGATGAAAATGATGATGATGACGACACACAGGTTTGTCAAACATAATTAAATGCTGAAAATGGGACAACGAATGACTCACAAGAACTCGTGGTGACGTGACGAAGCAGATTCACAAACAGCACCAAGAGGCAAACTGCAGAGTTGGTAATTCTGAATCACATGAACCTACCACAGATTCTTGGGGGGGGGGGGGTTTGAACTCTTGGTCTCAATAAAGAAATAACTATCAATAATAAACAAAAACCGCAAACCATGCATAACAATAAGAAACTAAACCAGAAAACACATGCACCATATTTTTTGTAATTAAACAAACGTTGCGGGTAAAGGTAACGTGTGTTTTTTTAGGGGGGGACATGCTTCAAATTAGAAGAAATAAAATTAACGTGCGCCTAAATAAAATAAGCCGGTCACGGTAGCCGAGCGGTGTAAGGCATGTACTATCTTCCCTCGCTCGGAAGCCGGGATCGTAGGTTCGAATCCCACATAAGGTATAGATGTTTGGTGTGTGTATGCTTTATTCTGTGTCTGTGTTGTCCTGTGTTTAGGTAGCGGCTTTGCGACGACCTGGTCCCCCGTCCAATGAATCCTACCGTCTGTAAATTGACGAATGAAACTGAGAAATTAGCTGAATGCTCGAAAGTGGGAGCGAGAGAAAAAATGAAATAAACCAATTAGAATACTATCTTCGCTGGAACCATGCCACAAAATCTACATAGCAGCATCAAGTATGGTACAGCTTATAAAGAAATCGGAGATGATAGACACTTGGCGGACTGCAAGGAGGCGGGGCAAGAGGGCATGGGATATTCTCGAAATGACGTATCCCATTATGCTTACAGTGTAGATGTAGATGAAGTTTACTTCTATTTCTCATAGAGCCATTTCATTCTCTTTCAAGTGCACTTATGTAATGTATCAGTATGTGGATTAATATATATTTATTTGGAGACCTAGACGTAGGATTGAGAATAATATTAAAAATGCTTGATAGAAGCAGAGACCGGAACTCCTTTGGCTCGACACATAATTCACTGATTAGCTTTTGTGACGACGATCCTTGACGAAATGGCGGGAGTGATTACCAGCTCTTCTAGGAAGGCTGTGTCACGGAGTTAGGGTTAGGAGCAATGGCGGGCGGCAAATGGCGCCGCCTATCCAGTAGTTTTACAATTCTGTAGAAAGAATTGGATTCGTTAGTTATTGCCACTTTATGGTTTTAAAAATGTATCTCAATTCTTATATCTTTATTTATATATATATTTATTTTTGTTTTCAGTTCTCGGACGGTATGAACCGGGAGTCGACGTGTCTACAGGGCCCTGATTGCTTCATGGTGAGTGGATACTTTATATAGTACTGGCTCTGTTGCAAGAGGCAGACTTCAAGGTCTCACTTGGTCTTCACGTCATATCCATGAAATAAATAAATGATAAGCCGATCTGGCTGAGGCTTCTTCTGTTTCTCTTTTCCGTGGCACGAATAACCAATAATATCCACCTTCTGTTTTTGGGAATCTGATTAGTAGGCATTGGATTGCCCTCTTTGACAGGGGTATGTCCGTCTCAGCCCTCTACCTGCACCAACACAAATATAAAACTCAGACATATATCTATACCTGAGTAGGATTCGAACCCACGACCCTCGTGGACTCGTGGCAATGATTTGTTGTCAGCAAAGATACGAAGAGCAATGGCAGAAACGAAGGATTAGTTCAATAAATATAAAATGTTTCCTACATTTATAAAACTGTTGTTCGTACGTTACCGAACTTAAGATCTGGCAAAGGACAGGACCTTGATACATAATGTAGACGGTGTTCTCGAAGCGAACTTCTAATAAATGAACCAATCAAGCAGCTAACTTTCGTGTATTAAGAGAATTTCGCCTACGGAAACAATAAAAGCAGTATATTTCGGGTCTTTTAGGAGCCAATTCAGTGCATTTGACATCGTTTATCTAGCGCCCTGTTTGCAGTACTCTCCCTGCTTCCTTGGAAGGAAGCCTGCAATATCATGTTAAAGAGGATCTGAGGATACTGACTGTTCATCTGGCTCGGGGCAGACAGCAGTGGTGGGCTGTTCTGAACAAGAAACTGCGGCGTTTCATGAGATGCCAGGTACTGAGAGGCTCAGTATGTTTTAGCGGCGGGTCTCTTGAAACTGTAATTAACATTCGTGCTGGCCGTGCCATAGCTCAGACCGTTAGTAGCCGGCTTCCCACCGCGGCGGCCCGGGTTCGAGCCCCGGCCGGGTCATGCGGGACTTATGGTGGACAAAGTGGCATTGGGGCAGGTTTTCTCCGAGTACTTCGGTTTCCCCTGTTAATTCGCATCCCACAGATTGCTCCACAGTCACCATCATTTATCATCTGAGGCTGGTACAATAGTGGTCGCAGTACCAAGGGAACTCAATCTCACGCCATGAGAAAAAAACATTCGTGTTCCTTCAAAGCAGAGAACATTTTGGTGTATGAATAACGGTGAACTTTCCAAAATAAGAAGAAAGACAAGCTGACAAATCCGTTTTCCGTTATCTTGATATAGTAAAGCATATGATGCAATCGTTTTGTGTAATTGGTTAGTAAGAGCCGATGCAAGAAACATTCTTGGGTTCTGCCTAATATTGCCGCTGCGTTGCAGTCTCAGGACTGACGAAGTTTTCTCGAGGGCTTGATGCAGTGTTGTGCAGGCTTCTGCTGCCTTCACCGTCTTAACCGTCCTGCAAGAAGAAACGAGCTAGATATTTTTGAGTTGCGTTCTTTGCTATTTTCAGTACCGAACTGGCGTTAATGTCCACTTCAGATGTGAATCTGACTGCTTTCTGCTTTTATGAACATTCGCTCTTCGAAAAACACTTCAAACGAGAACTGTAGATATGAATGAGACCTGTATTTATAAAAGCAGCCGGGATAGCTCAGTCGGTATAGCGACTAGCTACGTGCTCGGTGACCGAGAGTTCTGAGTTCGAGTCCCAGTAGGGTCAAGAATTTTCTCTTCTCCACGTAGTTCAGACTGCCTCTGGGGCCCACCCAGCCTCCTATATAATGGGTACCCGTGGCTTTTTCCCTGGGAGTAAAGCGGCAGGGGCGTGAAGCTGACCACTCAACTCCAGCTAGTGCCGAGATGAAGAAAACGTGGATCTATACATCCACCCTCCATGCGCCTTCATGGTATAGTGTTTAATTAATTAAGCTCAGGGAACAAATTTACCGTTACCATTCATCAGTAGCTGTACAGCTCTTCGGTACTGACCTCCTCTTCAGTTTCGTAAGTCTTTTACGCGAACGGTAGGACTCCTTAGACGAGTGGTCAGCACCTCGCAATGCCGCTACCTACACACAGAACAATAGAAACACAGAATAAACACACAGGCATTCATGCTTTGAATGGGATTCGAACCCACGATTTCAGCGTCCGAGCGAGCTGAGACATTTCATGCCTTAGGCCGCGCGCGGCCACTGTAATGGGCACGTTCCTTTACCTGTGTACGTGTTACGTAGCGCCTTCCCTTTTGGTGTATCATAAGCCGCCTTTAACCAAAATGTGGTCTTCGTGTAGAGTAAAAAAGTAAAGCTGTCCCTGTAACAGGCCGTGAGGATTCATAGGGTTGTGAGAGGTTGAGGGTCCCACATTATCTAGACAATCAGCTCAAAGATGGCGGTAAGGTTGTCAGCCTTACACGCCGGCCGCGCTTTACTCCCCAGAAAAATTATTTAATTAATTTCTGGTACTCATTTCTGTTAGAGGCTGAGTCGACCTCAGGGCCATATTGCGGCTGGAAGGATTAGGTCAATTGATAAAATCCAATTAACTCATCGGGACTTGAACCCACGACCTACCGGCTTGTAGTATAGCGCCTCAACCAACTACGCTACCGCGTGCCCCCTTCGTGTAGACTAGGTTTTTATATTCAATCGATACGGACCAATCTTAAAATTTGTGGCAGGTTACAGCAGTGCCAAATACCACATTTAACTGAAATGATGCATTAATTTATAAGATGTAACATGGTGATGATATATGGATACCATCTTTTAGTAATAGCCATGTTTGTTTCTTGCGCATGATAAACAGAACGCAAAAATACCTTAATAGATTCCCGAGGAATGAAGGTACCCCGATTTCTCCGTCCATTGTTAAAAGTTTTTCTATCAAGTTATCCCTGTGTCTAAGCACCATCACATAAATGAGTACAGGAGACACGGAGGTGAAGTTTTACGCATAGACTTCTACTTATGATGTCTGTGAATCGTTAGTTTTACGCTCCGCTCGCTTTAATTCCTTTACCAGTTTGATAGGAGAACCAGTCTAGGTACAGGAGACATGCACAACCATGTTTCTGACCGCAGTCGAACCCCGGTCGATCAGACCATAGGCATTCACGTTACTGAATAATCCATCAGTGGGCGAAACACCATATTATAGATTTCATAGGAATCTGAGGTAACATTTTCCACTTAAAATATAATTATACCTATATTTTAGTTCTCTGTGCGGGTTTATCTCGTGCACTCAACTTGACATGTCAAAAATGCCGTAATAAATCGAGAAAACTAGTTAACTTTTTGTGTGCTGTCCCATCCATTGTGTTCTCATGGGTATAAAGTGCGTGTGTGCAATTAGAAATGGACCACATGATTTGCTTACTGACTGACTGACTGTCTGTCTGTCTACCTCTCGGACGATTTTCTCTTCTGATATTTGTTATAAAAGCCCTATGTCCAGTTTAATGTAAACAGAATGTACAACAAATTGCATTCTGAATTGGAAAACTGTAAATGCAAAAGTGGCTTTAAATATCACTGTTCTTTTCTCGCCGTAGGAAATACGGAAGTCAAAGGAGATTAAGCATCTGACACAAAGTAAAAGATTAATATAAATTGTCTAGACTGTCACCCTAATGCTCTGGAGGTACCCGGTCCCATGTGTTCATTTCTTCGTTCGATTGTAAATTTTACCCCACTTTTCTAAAGTAGGCTTATGCTATCTCCATGCTGCCTATGTTTGTGTATTTCGCCCGTAATGTTTTTAAATGCATGATTGCATCTTTATGAAATTTGGTATGTGTATCATGGCGTCTGAGCCCATCTCAACGGCGCACGTTATAAATCCACTCAGTCTTTGTGTCTGTGTACGTAGTGTGTTCAAAAAGTATCGAACCTTTGGTCGGCAGAAATACATTTATTGATTTCGAGGTACAAAACCCTAATCCCCTTCAAAGTAGTCTCCTTGGTAATGCACACACTTCTCCCAGTCCTTCCGCCATTTTTGGAAACACTTCTGGAACGCGTCTTTTGGAATGGTGATCAGCCGGCACGTCGCATTCCACATGATGTCTTCTCTTGACTCAAATCGGGTATCCCTTCTATCATTGCTTGGCTATGGCTCGTTAAACACTTTCCTGCGGCAACGAGTTCAAGTAACAATCTACTGGAAGCATAATTTCTTATGCGGTCCGTGTCTTGTCAGATAACAGTCTGTGAGTCTGTTGCTTGGTAACAACTCGATAAAGACATTCTGTGGCAACGAAGAATTGTTGGTGACGTCGTTTTCTATGCGGTCCGTGTCGTATCAAAGGAAAGCAAGCTATTAGTTCTTCTCAGAACTTCTTGTTAATAGTGCAGCTTATGTAGAATACTTTCAGTTCAGGACATCTCTGGGGGTGTATCATACCTTGCGTAGGTAACCTTACGGAGGCAAGGTCTCTGATACTGTGGCTGTTTCTCTTTATACGTTGAAAATAGAATCTAGTAACATGGCTTAAAGATAGGATGGGATTGATCTGGCCCAGGATAGGGACGGGTGGAGGGCTCTTGTGAACACGGTAATGAACCTTTGGGTCCCATAAAATACTGGGAAATTTTCGAGTACCTGCACAATTGGCAGCTTCTCAAGAAGGGCTCAGCTCCCTGAGTGAGTGAGTGAGTGAGTGAGTGAGTGAACATGGCGTAAAGATCAACATCACTATCCAATGATGATTCCGATGATGACGAGGTAGGCTAAGTTACAGTAGCCTGAAATTGTAGCCCATTTTGGTAAACAAGAAATTAAATTAGTTTTTCGTTTGGGAGCAGTCTTTCGAAAGCAAAATTTTTGACGACTTAATAATTAGGGGGAAAAAACGGGAGGTTAATATTAGAAGAGACCCCTATGTTTTGAAAATGTGAATTAGTCTGAAGTGTCATAAAATCGGACGTAATGACATAAGTTCTCTTTTGTTTTCTTTATGTTCTGTTCGAGAGAATTAGATAATTATTAAGTAATTAGCTTGGTGCCACAACCAAAACAAATGCCACCTGTCTAATGATGGGTTATTTCTACTACCGGCGGCTGGG